AAAAAAAAAAAAAAAAAAAAAAAAAAAAAAATCCACAAAAGCTGTTTTTGTAACATAAAATGGGGATGCAAAGACTTACATGCAAGGCTGCTGCTCATTCTATGCATGTGGGGTTGGGGAGCAGGGATGGTTGCTGACTTTAGAACTCAGAGAGGGTAGGCCTCGGTGGAGGCTGGCTGGTCAGGCAGAGTGCTGTCCCCAGCTTCACTTGGTGGCCTGGACCTGCCCTACTCGACCTGCACCCAGGGCTCTGCTTCCGTTGCAGTTTGTGGGAAGGTATGAGTCTCTGGTGTTCTACTGGCCATCACTGTTGTGCCTGGCTTTCCTGCTGGGCCGCTTCCTGAACATGTTTGTCAAGGCTCTGAGGGTACACCTGCGCTGGGCGCCCCAGGCGGTGAGTATGTGTGCTTCCATGGGTGAATCCTCACAAAAGCCATGGGAGGGAGGTGCTGTCATCGCTTCTCACATCCTGGATTCAAAACCTCAGTCACAGAGAGGTGAATTCATTTGTCTAAGGTCACCCAGCCAATCTGTTAGTAGAGCCAGAGTTGGAACCCAAGGGTTGGGTGGTGGGACCCTTCTCTTAATCTGTCACGTCTAGCCTCTCTGGCTTGGGATAAATGGCTCCAGCTCAGAAGTCATGCTGGGCTTAAGAGAGGTCCTGTTTTCTCCTTATACCTTGCCAATAAATCAAAACTTGGGGTTGCTGTGATCCCTGGGGCTCACTTGCTACAGCTTTAGTCTCTGTATCTCCTGAATTTGAATAAGTTGTGAACGGTTTGTTTTATTGACCTTGAGTTTTTCTTGTCCTTTGCTTATCTTTTCAAAATAAGTATGAGATGATCAGGACAAGATAGGTAATGCTATAGTAACAAACAAGCACCCAAATCTCAGTGATGTGATAAAAGCTCCTTTTGCACCATTGCTACATGTCTTCAAGGGCATTTGAGGGCTTTCTCTCATGTTTTCCTCACTTTATGACACAGGCTTATGGAGCGGCCTCCATTGGGAGCATCACCGATTGGCACAAACTGAGAAAGAGAACATAGTAAAGTATACACTGGCTTTTAAAGCCTTCACCACGATTTCACATCCGTTCAGACTTCTTTTGGGCTAAGCCACCATTTAACCACACATACCTTCAAGTGATGAGAAGATACACTCCTAGGCTATATTGTGTCTTGAATGAGGTAGAGCCAGAATGTTTCTGAAGAGCTGTAAGGCTTAGAACCAGGTTGACACACCATTCAGCTGCTTAACAACAAAACAAAAAAGACAACAACACAAAGGTATTCCAGTTACTACACATAGCTTCAAACCTTTTCAATATGGAAATCAGGTCTTACTATACTTCCCTCAGTACAATTACTGGTAAGGTACCACTTACGAAATATAAAATGCTTATCTAAAGGTGGTGCTTCTTGCAAAATATAAAAGTTTATCTAAATGTACCCTTTTTAATGGGAAGAAAAAGTATGTTAGAGGTCTTTGCTAAGAATTGAAGAAAAGGAAATTTTCCTTCAGTAAGAAGATAATAATCATCACTTAATGGCTTCTTGTCCTGGACAGGTATTGTGCTTTATGCCTAGTGTCTTATTTAATGTTTGCAATCACCTTCAGGAAGGTAGTATTTTCTACATTTACTGATGAGGGACCTGAAGGGTAGAGATGTGACTTACCTGGAGCACACAAAAAATAAGAAGACAGTCAAGATTTGAAGATCTTAGGGGCTCTCTCCAGCATCCTGGGTACACAAGAGCTCACGGCAGGTAATATTTACATTCAAAATGTAGCAAAATAGGCAGCCACTGTGGAAATCTCAGGGCACTTGGAGTAAACATTTCAAAGTATATCATTAAATTATACTGAAAAAAGGTAAGAAAATAGCAAAAGGATCTCCATTTTATACACAGTAAAAATACAGGGATTTGAAGTATATCATTCTTGATTCAATAACTTCAGCTATGACAGGAAATAACCACATCTCCCAGGGAGAAAAGCTTCACTGGCATCTGTGAGAACCACAGAGCCAAGGACAGCCAGGCCTCGGGCATTTCTGCAGAGAAGATACCTAATGAACAGGAAAGGCTCCTCTTCCTTCTTCCAGAAATGGCAGCTGCCTGGGAATGGCTAAATCTTGTGTTCACATTCCTGCTGTCTGTGGTGATGACACTTCAAGAGAACAACCTCAAAGCCAAATGTCGGAGCCACATCCTCCCCGCTTCTTTTCTCACAGGAAGAGAAGCCTGTGTTTCTGGAAACCCACCAAGCCAAGCATGTTAAGCAGCTGCTGAGGAAGCCCAGGCCACAGTAAGTTCCCCTCTAGCCTTTCACCCCAAGTCACACCAACACCAATGAACAGCCCTTCCCACGGGCCTAGGAGGAGTGGACAGGCCCTAGGTCTTCTTTGCTTATAAGAGAAACCAGCCCAAAGTGGACTAAAGTGAGAGGGGAGACTGACCAGCTCACATCTCTAAGCAGTCTAGCAAAGCCAGCTTTGGGCCGGCTAGATTCAGAGGCTTAATTAATACCATCAGAACTAGGTCTTTGTTCTTAAGAAAGGGGAGATGAAAACTGTGAAAATACCCTTTCTCTACACTAAACTCCAAGATGAAGAGGAGATGGTGGTATTTCCAGAAGAACGGAGCATTTGTTTATCTACCACAGCCTCTTTTTCTTGGCATTTCTTCATTCACAGAGAAGGAGAAAAGTCTTGGTTTCAAACCAGGGTATATGAATGGGACCCCTGCTTCCTGTTCCCAAGCAGAATGATTGGAACCATTGTGTTGGCTTTCATCTGCCTGTACCTTGTAAGTAGCTTGATGAAAATCCTTTTATATTATATAAATGGAGCCCCAGTGTAGATGGTTTATGGAGTCTTTAAGGCAAGCAGTATGTCCTAAAAAGCTGGCTCAGAATTGAATTGTGGTGAGTCAAATAAGTATAAAGCTTCAACTCTACCATTTTAATTCCAAGGACCCTTTTACCCATATGGTAAATGTTATTAGGAAAATTAACCTACGTAAAATAAAACTGATAAAAGTTAAAAGTCCATGTGATAAAATTTATTGTTGACTAAAAATTGATAGAAAGGTGTATTCCAAATCATTTGACATTCAAACTTTGGTACAGAAGAGTTTTTAGAGATAACAACTTAGTAATGCTTACAAGGATAGAATTTTTAGTCAGCAAATTATGCAGTCAATAAAAGTCAAATCATTCAAATATAAAATAATTGACCCTGACAAAAATAATTTTACTAACAAAAAATAATTTTAGTGAACTGAAAATAAAAACGGAAACCAAGTGTGGTGGTATATGATCTCAGACTCAGCTATTTGGGCGGCTGAAGCAGGACTATCTCAAATTTGAGACCACCCTAGGCAACCCAAGTGAGACATTGTCTCACAGGAAAACTAAAAGGGCTAGAGATAATAGCTCAGTGGTAGAACTCATTCATGCTCAAGGTCCTAGGTTGGATCATCAGCACCATGAAAAATAAATAAATAAAATTAAAATGGATAAGCTAGAATTAGTTTATGGTACTATATTTTTTTTAATTTTATTGAGTTTATTGGTACATTTTAGGGATATGGTACTATATTTTTTAATGGATCAAAAATCAAAACATTTATTTTATTTTATTTTCTCACATAAATTTTAAGCGGTGACATAGTTCTGACTTCGATGTTTTATTAAATGTAGAGTCAAAACATTTTGTGTGGCCAGTGTCATCTAAAGTAAAACGGGTAAGTCAAAAGCTCATCTAAATAGTGGAAATAAAATAGCACATAAAGGCTAATTGTCATTTGCTCATTGAAAATGTACTAGAATAATATCTACTTAAGTGCATCTTATGATTTAGTTTTTAAGTGAATGTATTAGGTTATTCTGACATACTTATTAACTCCCTACATTTCAATGATTTAACACTATATATTTTTGTTCATGCATACTGCTGAGGGGAGGGGGCAGTTCTCCTCCATGTGGTCTTTCAGGAACCCAATATTCTTCTCTGTGTGTGTATTAGTTTCCCATCGCTGGGACAAAATACCCAACACCCACAAATTAAAGGAGGAAAGATTTATTTAGCTCAGTTTCCAGTGTGTTTAGTCCAAAGTTGGCAGGCTCCAAGGCAGAACCAGCATGGCAGAAGGGCCATGCTTATACCATGACAGCCAGGAAGCAGAGAGAGAGGAGAGAAGAATCACGGACAAAAATACAGCTTTCCAACCCAAACCACCAGTGACAACCCCCACAGTCTACATCTCCTGACAACACTTTAAACTAACAGCACATAACATTCTGATGAATCCACAAATAAATGCAGCACCTTCTTCACCTTCCAATCACCTTTCAAACACATGAGGTTTTTAGACAACAGTTTATAGCTAAACCCTCACAGCGTGCCTTCCTCATCCTTGAGGACTTCATTGCTGTTTGCATGCAATCAACAAAAGGAAAGGAACAGGGAGAAATGCTTGCCTGATGTCTTCATGGACTGAGTGAAAGTATCACATGTGCTCTCCACTCCTCTTCCTTTGGCAAGAACCTGGACATTTGGCCTAAAATAAGAGAAGATGGGAGATATTGTCTAGCTTTGTGCTCAAAGAAGAGTGAATGAATTTTAAGGGTCAAATAGAGTTTTCTGTAACAGAGAATAACCCACTTGGAGTTTTGGTGTTTCTGAAGTATTTGTTGAGCATCTACTATATGCTGACCACTGTGCTAAGAGCTGGGAGTAGACAGAGAACTGACAGCACAGTTCTGTCCTGGGAGATGTTCATGACATAAGACATAGTGTGAGGTACTTGCCATTCTAGGAGAGAAAAGGGATGAGATAAAAGTGCTAGAAGTTTACTGGATCATTCTAGATTGAGAAGCTGCCTAAAAGGTGATAGTGCCTGGGCTTTACTTCAGAGGTAAATATGATTTGATTGGTGAAGAAAAACAGCAAAAGGAACTATACAAGTAATGTCATGATGATCAGATACGTGGTGACACGAGGATAGGCTGACAGGGCGGTGGGCAAGTACAACATTTGCTTGCAAACACCTTCTCCAGTTTGGCTCCTGCCAGTATCAGTGAAGGGGAGCAGTGGGAGATGTGGCTGGCGTTGTCCTTGAGGTCACCCATTCATTCCATTCTGCTTGCATCAATGTTGAAAGAGTCCCTTGAGCCTTTGTGGGGCCTGGTCTTGCATGTCACAGGGCGAAGAAGCGAGTGTGAGGTCTTCCAAGAACACACAATCCCATTCATCTTAGAATAGCTGGGGTCTAGAGTCATTTTCAGAAGACTGGTGAATGCCTAGAAGAGGCTGGCCTCCAAACCAAAGAAAGACCTGTGCTATTTCCATGCTGAGCTAGGCTCAGGGTAGACTGTGAAACCTTTACTCTGTGTCCCCAGTTCATTGTCATTGAGTTCTGCATGTTTGTGTATGTGAGAAACAAGCTGGATGTGTTTGAAAGCAACCTGGAGAACTACGTCACTTATGTGAACCACACGGGGATCCTGACTCCATTCATCCTGCAGGTGCAAGAGCTGATCAGTGTCTCCAAAGGTAAAACCATCTGCTCCCACTGTTCCTGCCATATGTGGGGGAACTGAGGAATTTGTAAGTCATGGCAAGAGTTAAGTGGTGGCAGGGGAATTGCAAATAGTATTAGCAGAGATTGGAGAAAAGTGTGTTAATTTTTAACCTCCTTGGTTTGACTAGAAAGACAAATGAGGTCATTTTGTTAAAGTCTACAGGGAACATGTCCTAGGAGTGTTCTTATTTAAATAGCCTATTTTTTCAAGGCCAATGGGAAGAACTGAAACAATCGTGTATTTTTCATTTGGAAAAAATAAAACACCAAATATTGGTGGTTTTTTACAATGATATAAAGTTTTAAAAATAACTTTCAAGTGAAAGTTATTTTTATAAATAGATCTCTTGAACTAATTTCTCTTTTTTTCCCATTGAGTATATTGGTACTTTTTAGGTATACAGCACAGTTACATTCATCACTGGGAACTTGCACCTTTACATGACAGATCTTGGTTCTTATTTTTCCCCATACCCCTGCCTTCCTTCACCCCTCCACCCTTCCCTATTTACAAAGACTTTGTTTCCACTTTTTCCTTTTCTCATATTTTTTCTTTTTCCTTATTCCCTTTACCCTACCCCTCCAAGTTCCCCTACACCTTTTGCCCTTTTCTTCCTATTTCACATTATCAGTTATACAATGTGAATCTTATTTACACTTTCAGTTTTTCACACCAGAGAAACTATTCGGTATTTACACATGTGTGTCCTATTTATTTCACTTAAGAGTATGGCCTCAATATGCATCCATTTTCCTACAAATGACTCTAGTTTCTCATTCTTTATGGCTGATCAGTACTCCATTTTATAGAAAAACCACATCTTCTTTATTCAGTCTCCAATTGATGGGCACTTGGGCTGTTTCCAAGCTTTAGCTTCTATAAACATGGGTGTGCATATGTCACTGTGGTATGATTCTTTTAATTCTTTTGGAAATGTACCCCTCAGAGGGATACCTGGGTCAAATGAAACCTCTAATCCTAGTAGTTTGAGGTATCTCCATATTGATTTCCACAGTGGTTGTACCAGTCTGCACTCCCACCAACAAGAAGGAAGAAGGGTTCCTTTCTTCCCACAACCCCACCAGCATTTGCTATTGATAGCAGCCATTCTTTTTGGGGTGAGGTGGAATCTCAGGGTTGTTTTCATCTACATCTCTCTAAAGACCAGTGATGTTGAACATTTATTCATATATTTATTTGCTGCTTTTACTTCTTTGTCTAAGAAATGTCTTTTCATGTCAGATGCCCATTTTTGAACTGCGTCTTTATATTTGGGGGGCTGATTTTTTTTCAGTTCTTTCAATATTCTAGAAAATAGTCTTTTGTCTGAGGAGCAGCTGTTAAAATTCTTTCCCACATTGTAGGTTGTCTCTTAGCTCTGTGGTTCCTCTCACATCTCAATAAGATGAGATCCCAGTTGTTGATTCTTTGTGTTAGTTCCCTGCTACTGAGGATTTGTTCATAATGTCTTTTCCTATGCCCATGTCTTCTAGAGTTCTACCTAACTTATCTTCCAGCAAGTTTAGTGTTTCTGTTTTAATATTTAGAACTTTAATTCTCTTGGATTTTAGTTTAGTGCATGGTGAAAGATAAGGGTCTAGTCTGAATCTTTGGCAGATTGAAATCCAGTTTTTCCAACACAGTTTATTAAAGAGGCTATCTTTCCTCCACTGAGGATGGTTGGCTCCTTTGTCAAAGATGAGGTGGCTGAGTATGTCTGGAGTTGTTTCTGCATCTTCTAATCTGTTCCATTGATCCTTGGGTCTTTTTCTTTGCCAGTACTGTGCTGATTTTGTCACAGTGGCTTTGTAGTAAAGTTTCAAGTTGGGGATTGTGATACTCCCTGTCATGTCTCTTTTGCCTAGAATTGCTTTTGTTATTCTAGGTCTCTTTTTGTTCCAAATGAATTTTTGGATTGTTTTCTCTAGTTCTGTGAAATATACTGTTGGAACTTCAATCAGGATTGCATTAAATCTGTATAGCAGTTTTGGTAGTATGGCCATTTTCACTATGTTGATTTTTCCTACCCAGGAGTGAGGAATATATTTCCATTTTCTTATATCCTCTTCAATCTCTTTTTTCAGAGTGCTGTAATTTTCAGTGTAGAGATCTTTTGCCTTCTTGGTTCGACTGATTCCTAGATACTTCATTTTTTTATACTATTTTGAAAGGAATTATTTCCCTAATTTCTCTCTTGGTGAGTCTGTTATTTGTGTACAAGAAGGCTACTGATTTTTGAGTGTTGACCTTGTATCCAACTACTTTGTTTCTTTCTCTTGTCTAAATGTTCTGGCTAATGTTTCCAGAACTATATTGAATAGGAGTGATGATAGCGGTCATCCTTGCCTTGTTCTCTATTTTAGACTGAAAACTTTCAGTTTTTGACCATTTAGTATGATGTTGGTTTGTCATAGGTGGCTTTTATCAGATTGAGATAAAGACCATCTGTTCCAATTTTTTGTAGGGCTTTTATCACAAATGGGAGATGGACTTTGTCAAATGCTTTCCTGTGTCTATTGAGATGATTATGTGGTTTTGATTTTTGTCCTTGGCTCCGTTAATATGGTGTATACAATTATTGATTTGCGTATTTTGAACCATTCCTGTATCCCTGGGATGAATCCTACTTGATTGTGGTGTATAATTTTCTTAATGATTTGCTGAATTCTGTCTGCGAGTATCTTATTGAAGATTTTTGCATCTATGTTCAAAATAGGTTGGGAAGATTGACCTGTAATTCCCCTTTTGGGTTGGATATTTCTCTTATTTTAGAATCAGAGTAATACTTGCTTCCAGGAATGAATTTGGAAGTATTACTTTCCTTTCAATTTCGTTGAAAAGTTTATTTATCTATTTCTTTCTTTATTTTTGGTACTGGGGATCAAACTTGGGTCCTTGTGCTTGCGAGGCAGGCGGCAGAACCACTGAGCTAAATCCCCAGCCCTAATTGAAAAGTTTAAAGAGTAGTGGCAATAGTTCTTCTCTAAATGTCTTGTAGAATTCAGCAGTGAAGCCATAAGGACCTGGGCTTTTCTTTGTTGATAAATTTTTAATTATGTTTTCAATTTCACTGATTGTAATTGGGGTGTTTAGAAATTTTTTAATCTTCTTTGTTCAACTTTGGTAATTCAAAAGTATCTAGAAATCTGTCCACTTCTGTGTTTTCCATTTTGTTGGAGTACAGGTTCTTGAAGTAGGTATTGATGATCCTTTGTATTTGTGCTGTTGTGACTTCACCTTTTTCATTCCTAATTGCATGAATATGAGTCTTTTCTTTCCTTTTTTTGACAAGGTTGGCTAATGGTTTATCAATTTTATTTATTCTTATGAACCAACTCTTCAATTTGTTAATTTTTTGTATCATTCTCTAAGAATCCATTGCATTGATTTCTGCTCTGATCTTTATAATTTCCTCCCTTGTATGAGCTTTGGTTTTTTTCTTGCTCTTTTTTATCTAGGATCTTAAGATTCATCATTAGGTTGTTTATCTGAGCTTACTCTGTTTTCCTAGTGTGGGCATTCACTGCTATGAATTTTCCATGTAGAACTGCTTTCATTGTGTCCCATAGATTCCTATATGTTGTATTGGCATTATCATTTATTTGTAAAAACTGACTAATTTCTTCTTTAATTTCCACTGTGACTCATTGATTATTCAGGAGAATGTTGTTCAATTTCCATGTGTTTGTGAAGTTCTTGCAGTTTCTTATGCTATTGATCTCCAGCATAATTGCACTATGGAATGATAATATACAGAGAATAACTTCAGTTCCTTTTAATTTGTTTAAATATGTTCTATGAGCTAGTATGTGGTCTATTTTGGAGAATGACCAGTGTGCAGGCAAAAAGAATTGTATATTCTGATTTTGTGGTGTAGAACACTCTATAGACTTCTATTAAGTCCACTTGTTCAAAAGCTTGGTTCAGTTCTAGTATTTCATTGTTGATTTTATCTAGTTGATCTGTCTATTTGTGACACTGGGGTATTTAGGTCCCCCACTACAATTGTATTCATGCTCATTTGGCTTTTCATGTCCCTTAATATTTGTCTTCTATAGGTTGGGGCCTTTAAATTTGGCCATATATATTTATGATTGTCATTGCTTCCTATTGGATTGTTCCCTTTACAAGGATGTAG